GTCTTGTTGGTATATGTATGATTTCTATACATTTTACATCAGATAAAAACTTTGGTTGTAAGATTCAGATAATTATTTTTTAAAAGCTAGACATTTTAAATGAGAATAAGAAAGGAAAGTATTTCTTTGAGCCCCCCTTTCCCTACCTGCCCCCCTGGCAAAACTTTGCTAGATCCGCCCCTGCACAGTTTCCAGCTGTCAGCTACTTAGAAAAGGATCCTGGTGCTATTTGTCTCTCAGAAACAGTTCATAACTTCCCTTCAACTCATTCATGCCACCTTAAAGGTAAACCTGTTTCTCCATCACCTGTTCAGCTTTGATGATTCAGTAAGGACATCTCCTGGTTTCATCTTCATGTTTCCCTCTCACCACATATCCAAACCGATATCATATCACTATCAGTAACATCATAGCACCCGCCCAGCTGTATAGAAACGCCGTCATGCTAGCTAGTACGCAGTACGAGTTATTGTAACTGACTGTAAAATGTCAGCACAACGAAAATAAACTACACCTAAACTTGGTTTATATCTGACCCAGATAGACTGCAGGTCGTAACTTCTTACCTGAAGTTCAGTTCACCTGACACTCATCCACCTGCTGGCCTCTGAGTTATTTTTACACACCGGCTAGCATCTGGCCAATCCACCACCTTTCATTGTTTATACCGTTACAAAACAACAACAAAACCATCTGCCGTAAAAACAAAAAATCACCATCGGCCCACCGGGCAAATGCCCGATGGCCAGTCCAGCTATGGTCGGTACGAGAGAAATTTCTTTTGCAGTTGGTCTGAAGAGATGCACTTGCACTTTGGGATCTTTTAAACATCATTAGGGGCGTTGGTGCGCGCTCTGTCCCGTCTGTGAGTGCAGAACAAGCGCTCACAAAGCAGCAGTTTCGGGGATGACGTCACACACATGGGTCCTCTGAATACAGGAAAATAAAATACATTTCTATGAATCTCAAAAATCCCCCCGGAAGCCCCGGACAGAACGTGAAAAGTGGACATGTCCGGGGAAAAGGGGACGGTTGGTCACCCTAAGTAATCAGTAATTAGTAACAAATTACTATATTCAAGTAACTTGACCAACACTGCTTTTGTTGACAGAGATCTCGCTCT